AAGTTTTTAAAAATAAACCAGCGTATCAAACGTGGATTATGGCTAATCTTATTCAACTTTTGCACACCAGACGCCCTAAGTACGGCTGTCCGTGGCTATCGAAGCGAGGGAGGGTTGGTAGCTGTGAAGTCCTCGTTGAGGAAATTCCGAAAAATTGGAACTAAAGGCAGAATCGAAACGCCTGTTAGGCTGCTACCGAGTATGATCTACGCAGCACTCATCAAGCTGTTAGCTGTGCATTATCTGCAAGTGCCTTTAAATTTTAGCAGACTTCTGTTGCAGTTGAAGTTAACTGGTGATCGCTGGCAAGGGCCACTGTACAAGCGCCGCGTGTTGGCTGAGATCAAGATATTGGTGTTTGAGCCAACCAGGTAGCCAGCGGACTGGGGTGTCTGCCATGTGTACAGAGCATAACTTCCTTAAACACCAACCATCAGCATGCATGCACTTTTAGCACTAGACAGCTGCGATACCTTGGTGGTCGCGTCACCGCTACGATACCTTGGTGGTCGCGTCACCGACTTAGGCAGCATCCATAAATTACGTACGCAGGAAATCGTGATTTTTACTCCCCTCCCCCTTCATAGCGGTCCGTGACGTTTGCTTGGAATTGAGAAGACCAAGCGGAAATTGAGAGTCCTCGGTACGCAGTTTTTCGGAATTGTTATTACGAATACTTGTATAATTGGTAGTGCAGACAACATATAAGCCGGATGAACAAACCAAGTAATTTCTTTGATGAATTTGAAAATGGACACATGATGTGGTGGCAGTGGCCAAGACGGCTGCTAACACGTTCTCCGACAACGCAGTGTCGAAATCTCGCCCGACACCTGCGGGGTTTGCCGGAACATTTTCCCCCCCTACCTACCTGCTTAGTGCATTTGACACTCATCCTTTACAGTACCACTTACCAAGGGCGGCAATGAGCAGGGACCGGTCACCGGTTCGTCTCTCAGAAGAATTTGGTTTTTGCATGAAGATAGAGTAACATCGGGATAAACTTAAAAAATACTGTTATTGGCAAATGGTTCAGTGAGCGTGGCCAAACACGAATCTGTTGACTAAAAGTATCGTAAAATATTATTATTATACAGAACTCTTTAACTGGTTAAATTGAACGTTATTAACTATTACCATATTACCAGGCTGTTTGTGCCACTTTCGAGCATTGTCTTACCCCTCATCACTGTAACCTCCTTTATCGCTCCTTTATTTGATTTTATACTAAAATACTGTAACTGGTTCATCGTTTATCCAAATAGTAGCTTTAAAATTTTTTGCCACTTATCGGTCTGGGCAGAATATTTGCAGTGCAAGCGCGGTTTAAACACAAAACATTTTAACAGAAATAGGAAGAGTTTCTAAAAGCTGTGTGGGCGGGTGGCGAGACTTTTTGACAAGGTACTCTTCTGTACACCAGACCTTCAGATGCAGCGGTTCATCTAGCGGCTATAGCATTGTTCGTTCTAGTATAGAAGTATCTCATCTGATTTGATGACTTATGTGTAATCGTGAAGATCTGAAATCTGAAAATTCTAATTTGAAACACTTGTTTTTTTGTAGTAATGCAGCAGTTGCATGAATCCTTCTCGAGACACCAGAATGGAACCGTGCGTTCGAGTAACCTAACCATAACGCCCTCAGCCTCGGTGTATTCGCTGGACAATAACGTAGTTATAAGAGCTCCCGAAAGAACGCCGATAACGCTAAGGTGTCTAGACGATCGCATTGTACCGAGAACGAAAGAAACCAACCGGTTTGCTTTGCGCTATAACGGAATAGAACACAGCCATTTGGGCGTTAGTCAAGCGGTCGCTCCAGAACCCGCCACCACCTGTGGATGCTTACCACCCGGTACACAGACGGGAAAATTCCATGCTGTGATATACAACCTGACATCGGCAGATGTGCACCTACTGAATTTCAGCAACGTCAACGGCGGCCAGTACGAGTGCGTATGGTACAACGGGGACGACGCTGGTTACGTTAGTCAGCGCTACCTAGTCAGTCCACTGTTGACTGCTCAAGAGGTCTTCACTCCGCCACTGCGCAACATCTCCGCCGAGATAGGCGAAAGCGTGGAGTTGAGTTGCTGGGTAAAATTTGACGCAATGATGGGCGGGTTGAAGGGACGATTCCTGTGGATCAACGAGAAGGATGTGTTGTCCGCGCGAGGCTTCGACCGTTTGCAGCACACTGTGCGCCGGCGGGACGGCATCACGGTGCATTACAAATCTGACGCCAACTGCATCTGCTACGTAGCACTGAAGATTCAGGCCGTTCGGCGGGATGATGCCGGATGGTATCAGTGCTGGTTTAAAGCCGACGATGTCTTCGATGAGTGGCTGGTGCAAAGCGCGTTTCTAACAGTAACGTAACATTTGGGTGGCTGGAGCTGTGGGCCAACAAATTTGGAGGAGTGGCAAATCTCATGATGAAGCAGCTTTAGAAGATGATTCATTCTGTACGAAGAGGAGCTACCTTGGCCCGATCAAAGGCGCGAACACGACCATAATCCGATCACTGTGCACGCATGTGTGTACAACGCCCAACCGCCCAGGTTGGCAGTAAATGAACCACTGTGCCGGCATACGCAAAACGGCAAACCACCCACATCGGCAAGAACTTTGACACAATCGCTATGGCCGCCATATTTAAAAAACGAAAAATCCATTTTGTTATTAAGCCATTTATTATTATATTATTATTAAACGAAAAACCCATTTATTAAAAGAAGAAATTTTAGAGAGCTAAATTTATTAATAACTTTGCTGCCGTGGCAGGGTGAACAGCCATGTTTCACGCGCGGGCGGGCAAGTGGTTAACGTCGCTGCCAACCTGGGTGGTTTGGCGTTGTGCACACACGCGGGCACAGTGATCGGATTATGGTCATGTTTGCGCCTTTGATCGGGCCAAGGTAGCTCCTCCTCGTACTATTTGCCAAAGATGTGCTGTTTCATTAAGTACTAACGTGCTTTTGGGGTTGCCGCTTGTATTAATTTGCTCTTATGAAGCGTTCTTTTGTCTAGTTTTTTTTTGTATAATACTAGTTTTTACTGTTTAACTGAATTGACCTGGTGACATTATATGGGGTATGCTTTAATTGTCTGTTCTTGTGGTGCAGGTACAGTAAAACCTGCGTACATTGAACACCTGCGGTTCCAAATTTTTCGTTAAATGTAGGAGCCTGTCCAATGTACAGAACAGCTGCCCCCAGGGGGCCGTCCCTGGGGGCAGTAGTTCTGCGCACTAAAACTTCTCCTGGGGGCGAACGGAAGCCGCCTGAAGGGGGACAGCCCGGTTAACGAGCTTCTATACGCTATTTTCGCGCATAACACATCAAAAATCGTGTGGTGTCAAAGTTATAACAAGCGAATGGCTTGTGAACTGTGGTCCGTTAAGCGCATTTTTTGGTGTTTTTTTTGCTCCCGAAACCAGATTCCGGCGCCTTGTTCATTTTCAAAAGGGCTAAACATTAGTAAATAATTAGATTCGTTCCAGCTAATTTGTTCAGTGTTCACTTCAGAGAAGTGTTCAATATAAGCGGGGTCCCCCCCTATGTCATAGTCTACGAGACGCGACGGTTCCGTAATGACCGTTCAATGTACACCATACGCGAGTGTTCAAAGTCACAGGTTTTACTGTAACGTAAAACGTTTAAGGTGGTTTGGTTTGCTTAGTTTGCTACAGTAAATACATATTACTTGTCCCTAGTGTCCCGAGAATCGATGGTCGGGTGACACGCAAGGTGAACCAGCGTGACAAACGTTAACCATGCAGCCATACTGAACTATATCTTGGCATAAATCTTAGTTAATTCCACAAAAACTACTTGTATTTTGGTGTGTAAGTTTTGGGATTTATTTAGTACCTCAAAATTGACTGATTTTAAGAATGGCAGAAATTGTTCGTTGACCTTTACGTTTTTGTTCCTCACGTTGCAGTCCGCTGATAGGCACATGAAGACAACAAATTTCTTAGTTATTAGTTAAAACGGCAACACATCTAGACATCCAGGTGCCATATATTTCTCATATACTCCCACCAGAGAATACTGACTGACGTACACTGTACCGTTTTTCGTTTGCCACAACCCGATGTTTCAGGACATGACTTCAGCCTGATTGAAGCCTGAGTGAAGTTTCGTGCCAAATACTTTGACCTGAACGCGGTTCATTGCCCGACGTTTTAGTTCAAAAAAGATTTCATTCAAGCCGAATTTCCGGACTCAGTGCTACTGTTTATCTTAATCGAGCGAAGCGTAGCGAAGGCCTTAGCGATCTTCTGCGTTTATGAAAAATATCGTGTCCGTCGGTCACCGCCGGAATTATGCGTTCAGTTTTTCTTATCAAAATAAATGCGCGACGATCAAGGCTCTCATTGATGCCGATATACGAGTATAATTACGATCACATGATATAACCAGGAGATACTAAATTTCATCCACAATGAAGAAATCTGCACACAAAATGCATGACTCCATTCGTGAGCATTTCCGTCCGTCAAAAATGCTCACACCGTGAACCGTTGTCGTTCAAGCATTTTCGTCCGTTAAATGTGCCCCCTGCTCACACCGTGAACCGTGAACATGTGAGCAATCTTGCCGGCTACAGACGTCACAGAGTAACACCGGTGACCGACGGACACCATGAGTTGCATGTGGTGTAAGTATATGGTCCCACCGTGGATGCGGGCATTTTTTACAAAAGATAGCGCGTATATGTACATTCGGTGGCGGTGACCGACGGACACCACATTCCCCATAATTGTTGGACATAGAGGACCCTCGCTACACTTCGGTCGATTAGATATTTAAAAAAAAAAAGAATTTCCGGATGATTTCTTGAAGGGTATTGTCTTTTGAAGGATATGGGACACAATTTCTTCACGAGTGAAGAGCTAATGGCGGGATGCAATCATCCCCATATGTTACGTCCGATGTCGAATGTCTTTATTCAGATGGGCGTACAAAGAGGAGCAAATCTGCCCCGCATTTTATGGAGAACTTTGTGAACAATAAAGGATTTATCTTTATAATTATCCGACACCAGCAGAATAAAACACCAATAATACTTTCTATTTACTGCATCCGAGAAACACTAATGAATACAGTGCACACGCTAAGTACGTTAAGAACAAGCAGGACATGGTTCGGGGATGAGCAGGATACATTAAAGAATTCCATGAATAACATGGAAGAAGAAGTATGTCGTGCAGTGTGTTTAGCACTTGCATCATAGTTCTCTTTAAATGCGTTTATAAATGATTGCGCTGAGTCGCAATAGTACACAATCTTCTCAGACCTCAGTCACATTTATCATTGATGGAATACTCCACCCTTGTGAAATTAATCTGCTTGGGACTACTGGGAAACGGTTGGGCCGCGCAGTTAATCGGGACGTAGATCGCCTCTTTGGGAATCTCCACATTGCCGAAAGACCCCGGGATACGGTAGATCTCACTGTCGCTAGCGTTGCGCAATAGCGCTAGGTTATTCCGCCACCAGCGCCGAAACCACGCCCACCGGCAGTCACAGTGCAGGCGCCGTATATACTCCTGCGTCTCGGCACGGAACTCCGTCATCATATCCACGGAGAACTCCAGCGCTAGTAATCGCAGTGCCGGCAGGTCGCTGAACGTGTCTTCCTCCATCGTCCGGATCGTCGAGTTCTCCAGGGTGATCATCCGCAGCCAGCGGTTGACGCGGAAATCACCACGCTGAATGTCCAGTTGGCTGCAGGATGTCAAAGCAAATTCCAGAAGAAACGGGAAGTTTAGGTCTGATAACTGCCCCGTGGTGCGCGAGCGGCGACAGTGCAGTATCTCCAGTACGACGACCTGTTTTCTGATTGGCTGGAAATTGCTGGCGACGGTTTGGCGACCGTCGTGAACGACCACGGCCACCGCCCGCAGGAGACCGTTGGCGAGACCCGTGGCGATGGTGCGCACTTCAGTTGCGGTGGCGTTGGGTGTGCAGGAGATGGACAACGCCTTTTGCGACATGCAGGAGTCCTTCGTCGTTTCCGCGTTGCGACAATTAGCCGAGAACTGCGCACGGCACTGGGCAGCGGTCATCCGTTGCGTGGAGAACTTGGGAAAGGGTTCCGGGATTACGCTGGAACACGTCGCTGTTGAAGAATCCGATGGGAGATCTTGGAGGGCGCAGTTGTACGCGATCTGCAGTTTGGCGACATCAAGGATGCTGAGTCCCTCGCGTTGTCCCATCTTAATGGGTTTCCGGGTCCCGGTTTTCGGGAGGATGACCGGGGTACCTTGTGAGACGGCGAAATCGAACGGTCCGTAGTGCATGAGGGATAGGAGGTCGTACTGCGTCCCGTGGGTGGGCAGATGCGGTAGTTTGACGAAGTTGGGGTCGTAGCGACCTGGCTGGATGTGGTCAGTGTAGATGGCTATGTGGTCGTCGCGATCCGGTCGGTTCTGCTCGTGGAAGAGGCCCAGGGCGTGGAGGAGTTCGTGTTGGATGACGCCGGGGGTCATGCAGAAGGGTGCCAGGCGGATGCGGGTGGGGTAGCCGGGAACGCGGCCGATATCAGCTTCGCAACTACAAAGACACTACAGGCTCGACACAGCTAAAGAGTTTCGCTGGTTTAGTTTTCCCTGGTTCTGTTAACGTAATCGTTGAGCGCGGGCTCTTGTCCAGAGTACCATAGTAGTCGTACTGCTTTACCATAAACAGAATGAATGTAACAAAGAAGATCCCAAATTAAAAAAGAAACATTCTCGAGAAGCCATGGATGGAGGAGTCCCACAATATATTTGCAAAGTATTGTGACCTTTAGGCTCTGGCTTTTTGAAGCATACCAGACTTACTAGTCAATTCGGTAACCATAAACAACCATGACAGTCATGTAACTTAGGAACTCATTTATGCCCTTACCAACGTCCGGGATACAACGAAATATATTCCTCTTCATCTGTGCGTTCCTTAAATGCCACACACGAAAATGTCCGGCGCTCGATGGTACGCATGGCGGTTTCGATCAGACGGCGACTGGTGAAATCTGATGACAAAAGGTCCTAGTTATAGAATTTTAACAACCTAGATGGTGTGTTGTGTAGTATCGAGGCATTACGAAAGCTTTCGTAATGCCTCGGTAGTATATGTGGGAATAGTAACGCTTTATTGGTGAGTCGTACTCTGTAGCTCGACAAAATAGCAACTGATTTTGCTGACACTGTTTGTCAACAACAATATGGACAGCGTCGCTAGGGACAAGCGCGCGTCCTTTGTACAAGGTCGAGGCATATCTAACAGTTTGCCAAATGCAAAAGTTTTACGTAGATGACGGTTAGTTATGTACATACGGTTCAGTGTACGATGCTGTTGGTGGAAAAGCGGCAGACAAAATAGTGCGGATTAAACCGTTAAAGCGTTTTTCTCGATTTCCAGCTAACGTTAAAATGCCTAAAGAGCATCCCTACCGAATCCGGAATAAATTACATAAGGGATGGCATTGGGTGTCGGCCAGTAATTATACGCCTGCATCTGCCCGGTCTGAGCGGCGTAGATCCCGAAAGCACCCGGACTGTCCGGTTCGGAGATAATATCACCGGCTGATGAGGCATTGAAGGGCGCCGCAACAGAGGGATCGATCAGATTGCGCCAATCTGAAGATAAAAAACAGCCCCAGAAAATCATGTACAGAGTCTGCATTACGTACGTTTTTACGGATTAATATCACCTGACCTGAAGGAAGTTTGGACGCTCTGACGTAATACGGATGCTGTATCCAGCCGATCAGTAGCGAAATAAAGATTATCCTGCAGTCCATTCTTCAGTTTACTCGGTAGCGATTTTGGAGAAAGATTACTATTTATGTATTTTATTCCCCAGCAGCTGCACAGGCGACAAAGGCAAATGGGACGTTTATCAATCCGCCAATGAAATACACTTTCAGGGTAGTGATATTTTTATGAAATTACTAGCAAATTACCATTAAGAAATAATGTCAGTTAAGTTACCGTATTAATAATAAACCGGGCATAAACTGCTTTTCAATGAAGAGGCCACAAAGAACTGTTTGGCACCGGCATCTCCACTGTACTGACTTTGCTGAGTTTTTGCTACCAATGCATGGATCGCTAAACAATTTCTCTGAAGGAAGACCGTGAAAACGTACCGGCGCTCGCGGAAGTGATAACGATCTCAATACACTATCAGCTAACGTTTATAACCGGAACACGAACAGCTCATCGCACTGGAGAAACACACTCAACGGGCAACGCAGTGCCTTGCAGACTGTACGTACGGCACATTGCCGTATTCCGATACGGCTGGCCATCATGATAACTGCTGCACAAGCAAACGCTACTTGGATGGTTGGATTATAATTTTTGTCAACCAGTTAGACAAGTCGTGCACTGGCAAACTGTTCTGCTCAGTATTAAGTTAAGCACACGTTATTATGCATTTTATTCCGCCAATAAAAATCACAGATATAAAGCACCGGTTAACATCATTAATAAAAAGAACACCATACCCAAGAAACATCTGCTTGCAAATACCGAATTCGAGCTTCACGAACACAAAGAACCCAGTTCATCTTTAGACCATTCGTTTATTATAAAAAGCAGCAACGACTATCTGCAGGTTTTATCTTCATTAAAAGAAAACGGTATCTGGCTGAACAAAATATTATCCAGATCGTTGCAGTCAACCGGCACGTACAGTTCCTCCTTGGCCACCGCTTCACTCTGCCACGACTGCGGCAGACCATACACACTACCTTCGGCACGGGCTTCCAGCAGGCGTTGATTCTGCGTCAACCAGCGGCGAAACCAGGCAAACTCACACGTACAATGTATCTTCCGCAGATAGTCTTTATCGTCCAGCATCATGGTGTTCTCATTGAACAAGTACTCCAGCGAAAGAACCTGCAGATTCGGCAGCAGGTCGCTGAAGGTCCCCACTTCCAAGGAACTAACCGTCGACTGCCGAAAGCGAATCATCCTGAGCAGTTTCATGTTAGAGAAATCGCGTTTCTTGATCACTAAGTCGTTGCACATGAAGAGCTGGTAATCCAGAAGATTGTCGAGGAACAATCGAGAAACCCGGGTCGTCGTATGGCTGCCGCGGCAGTCTGTTAAACACAGCACGACAACCTGCAGCCGCACCGGGTCAAAGACGTCCCGCGCCATGTGGTCGCCATCGGTGAGGAAGAACTTGAGCGCGCGATGGGACGCGTTGGCTTTAATTGCATTGTTCAGCGCTTTCAATGGTTGTCGCTTCACGTCGGTGGTGTAAAACACATCGAGACCTTGAAAATCGTTGCACGGTGTGCCGTTCTTCGGGCCCTTGATGCTGATGCAGTGCGGCGGAAAGGGCAACTCCATCTCGACTTGAGTGATGGGCTCCAGCCGGAAAAGACCGGGCAACGGCTGTTTGGAGGGATCTTTGGTCGTGGCCTCGGCGTCCTCGTACGCGCGGCACTCGTACAGGTTGCGCACTTTGGCGATATCCCCGTTACTCAGTCCCTTACGTTGACCCTGGCGTTGGTTCTTACCGCTCTTAGGGATAATGGTGGGTTCGCTGGGGGTCTTGGCGAAATCGTACACCCCGTAGTGCATGATGGACTCCAGGTCGTAGAACGTGCCGTGGTACTCCATGTCCTCCATAATGGCGAAGTTGCGGGCGATAGCGCCGTCCAGAATATTATCCACGAAGATCTCGACGTAGGCATCGCGGTCTTTACGGTTCTGCTCGTGGAAGAGGCCCAGAGCGTGCAGGGTCTCGTGCTGGATGATCCCGTGGGTCATGCAGTCGCGACCTAGGCGGATGGTCTGTTGACCGCACTGGCGTCCCACCGGCGATTGACAGGCGTTGCTGAAAAGGGACAGTGTTTATTTATCCGTTTTTTTATGCAAAATAATTTTTGAAGCGTCATAATACAGCCTATTTAAAACTATATTCTTTTCCCGTTCTGTTACTGCTTAAAGCGCAACCATAAGATTGTGTATTCATAAAATAGCGTACTCCTGTTAAAAGGCATCGCATCGCATCAGCATTAATCCAAAGGTACGTTTTTAGTTTGTCTTGGTGATATAAGGCACTGTCAGTTTTTAAAACTAGTCTAAAATTAGTTCTAGTTATTTACTAGTAGGTTAACGTGTTGCCTCGTATGCGCAACTGGGAAGCTAAAAATCCGTAAAGCGGAACGTATGGGACGGCGTGCTGAAAGGCAGCGATGACACTTACTCTCGGCTGTCCGGCTGGAAGTAAATGTAGTCCCGTTCGCCGGCTCGGCGCTTGAAGGTGATGCAGGCATGCGAACCCGTCTTCGTCCAGTTGGCGATCCGCTGCAGCGCCCACTCTATCAGTTTGTAGTCTCCATTGCGCAGAAAGAAGGGGGCGATGTCGTAGGGGATACTCCATGCGCGGTTCCATTTGTTCCAGGGCTTGAGTTTGCCGGTGTACATGACGTTGTTAACCGGCACCATATCGCAGTTGGTCGAGTTGTTCGTGATGGCGCGCTCGGATTCCCGTTCGGTCAGCACGGTCGGATCGATACGCTCTTTCCAGCCTGCAACATAGAATTATTTGTTAAAATATGTTGTTTATTTGAATCACAAGCCGCAGCTCAGAAACTTTCAGCGACAATATATAGCAAACGCTGCGAAACCAGGCAAAAGATTTGCTAGCTCTTGATACTGTCACGAGCAAGGTCTAACACCCCCTCGAAATAACAGATAAATCTGGAGGTGGGATAGCACGGGTGTCCCACAAAAGAAGAGTTTATTGCCCAAAAGGGAAAAATACAGAAATATGGGAAAAAGCAAGCAATAAACTGATCGTTTCCACAGGAAATACAGGAAACGATACCAGCAGCCACCTAGGGCGGCTGCTCCATACATCTAGCATGCACCGTGACAATACGTATACAAAAGCGCGTCCGCTACAGTTTCTCATGAAATTTCTGTTCCAATCCTACACGTCACGGTGGATTAAACAGTATCATTTGCAGAGCATGCGTGTCTGCGGGTGTACCAGCAAAGTTAGAGCCGCGCGGAACATCTACAACGGAACGCCGCCCAGATGGCTGTACGACATTCGCCTGGAAACGCGGAATGTGTCTAGCATGGGATGTGACATGCGTAGACACAGTGGCGGCGTCACATGTTAAAGCAACGTCCGCCACAGCGGGAGCCGCCGCTACGCAAGCCGAGGAAAAGAAAATCAGACTGTATTCCTATCTGAACGGCCGTTATATCTTTGTCCCAATCGCTTTTGAAACGATTGGCCCTTGAGAGCGGCCATCGCCATCGTCAAGGAGCTGGGTAAAAGACTGCGACAACAAACCGGAGAAGTACGCTCGCACGAATTTCTTCGACAGCGCCTGTCGATTGAGATTCAACGGGGGAACGCGGCGTCAGTACTGGGCACCATGGATGGAGTGGATAAGCTTACAGAGATTTTTTTGTTATAGTTTGAGCGGTTCTGTTTTATATTACCCACAGTGTAACGAGCAACAATAAATTAAACTACAGACCATTGTAAAATGAAAAAAAAAATCCTACACTAATCACACAATTGATGGGTACCGGCAGTTTAGTACCCCGAATAAATTTCCAGCTTACCGTGAGGCGCCATAGCGCACAGAACGGACGCGCATCCCATAAAAACAGTCCAGGAAACCAACATGATTTGAATTCCCGATGAAATGAAAAGCACTCTTTAGTGAAGATGAGATTACTCACGATGAAATTAAAAACACTTTCTACAGTCGATTCCGACAAACCGATGTCGCGATATGTCTTAAATGCGTTAGTGCAGCGTGTTCGAAGCAGGAGCTCAGAGGACTTTGACCCTCAGGCTGCATATCGCAAGCGGAAATCTTGACCACATATTGCGAAACACCGCATGACACGCGCGTATAGTGTGTACTGCAGCTACTGTCTAAACTGGCGTTGACTAACGCAGACCAGTTTAAATATTTAAGTATATTCATTTGGTCGAAGAAAATCTGATTTAAATAGGATACATGTACTGTGTGTGTATTTACACTATTAAAAAGTATTGGACTTCGGTGAGCGTGGTAGTACTAACTACTAAGGAAGATGTGTATCCATGCCATTTACACCGCCCACCTAGCTACGTTTTATTTATTGCGAAAATGAAGCGATATAAGTACTGCTGTCATGCATATTATGAGTATAACAACGGAAAGGCGCAAATAGCTTCGTAATAAACTTCAACTTTGAGATATTTTTGCGCATTACCGCGTTTATATACTGCACATGTAGATATGTCCGTACAGATATAATGTATTATTGGGTTCATACTTTTTACTAATTTTTATTGCGGCGGATGCTCCGGCTGCTGCACATTTAAGCACTGTCATAACAAAATAAGCAAAGTTCATTTTTCTTTTTTATTCCCCAAAGTTTATAAAATGTGCAGTAGATGAAACAATATATTATATATCTCAGTACAGTAGGTGAAACTATGCAAACGTATTTTTTAAAGTAAGTCAACATGACGTGAACGGTGAACCTGTAATTCAAAGATTATTAGGACATCCAAAAATGGATCTATAGACAGTGGATGGTAGACTGATTCGTAAACAAGAAGGTGAAGTTTGAAGTTTTGGCTTCTTTGAAGTTTCTCCGCAACTGTGTGTATCTTGTAAGCAGACGCACTACCTCCACATTAACCTGCGATGGGGATGCCGGTAACGACGCTAGATGTACCAGTGGCTGTAACGACCGAAGAAAACAAATGTTGTATCATCGAGACAGCTTGTAAACTCAAAGGTCAAGGACAATTACACACTTCGCTATCTCCATTGTTTCGAAACTATGGTGGTACAAACTTACCGCCTCCAGTGGGGATACACATTAACACGCTTGACGAAGGGCCTGCAAAAGTCCAAGCTTTATTACGGTTATCCTGCCGGACGATGTCTGATCCTTACATGGCGAATGGCACTGGGCTACTGTGCCGGTGAAAATGTTGTTCATCGGTGGCGTCAGGTAGTGACACGACGGACTCGGTAATGACGACATAGCTCCGTTACACAGAAACATGGGAGACGATTGGGTAGAAGTGCCGGAAAAGAGGTAGTTGACGGCTGCATTGGGGTAGGTGCATGCTGGATCGTACGAAATTGTAGTTTGTCCGTTACACGCAAAGACATAATAAGGTTGGGCGTTCCCCAGAGTGCCGGTGAGGATGTTGTTTGTCGGCGCGGTGTTATAGGTGCAGGCCGGATTGTAGGTCACTGTCGTTGTTCCGCCGCACAGGTACTGCAGTCCAGCGGTTAGGTAACCTTCGTAAGCGGTGCCTGTCGGTGTCGTCAGGTAAATACAGGCCGGGTTGGCCGTGGACTGGGAGATTCCATTGCACGTGAACGTCGCGCCAGGAGTGGAGGTTTTGGGGATTCCATAGAACGCGCCGCTTACCGCCGGGGTGAGGTAGTGGCATGCTGGGTTGACAGTGGTGGAGAGTATGTTGTTGCATATATAGGCATAGGAAGAGGAAACAGGAGTTCCATTAACAGTTTGTCCACAGGAACGGGGAGCGGCTTCTGTAATCATTATATGTTTAATTACTTTTTATGGATATCAAAATTCTCTTTAGTATACTCAGACAAACACCCGGCGCTGGGATAAGGAAAAATTAAGAGAAAAATCGCGTTTTTTCCGGGATAGCGTTGGGCTTACCGCAAAGTACCGCAACAGCGAAAGCATAAATGACTAAAATCCGCATTATTTTACGCGATCTAACCCGAAAATATGTACCACAAAAATATTTATGTACCACAGAAGTATTTAACCTGGCGGTGACGTTGAAACAGTTGCTGCTGTTATGAAAGTTTTTAAAAACGGTTGTTCAGTTTTGATGCACGAGTGCATTGCAAATTTACCGCACGGGGTTTAAATAGAGGGGTCGACTTCTTCCGAATACTGTCGAATATCAGTTGGCAGCAAATCAAGCCGGAAAACCCATTGTATTCTAATGCTAGATCCAGAATGGATCCAGGGACGGAGACAGAAACGGAATCTATCCCGTGGAGTGAGCTATGCGATATGTATAGCGAACTACGCGGAATCGCGAGACGTCGCACCGCTAATAGCCAACTTTTAATAATATTGAAAATCTGCACAACAGAAATCAACAAGTGATCGGCGCAGCTCGATCGCAAATCGTAGAGCCAATTCAACAGTGTGTAACACTGTGCAGCACGTGCTATGCCGCGCCCACTAGCCAATCAGAGCGAGACACAACACAGACACGTAATCCAGCTGGCGTAGCGTCGTGGACGTGAACGCTAGTGAACCCCCGCTCACATGCCTCTGGGGGGATGCCGAGCTCCGTTGAGGCTGGACACACTCCGAATCCACGAAAAGACGGCGGTCGCCGGTGTCTGTGCGTGCTCAAAAACATCAAATTCTCTTATTCCATTTTATCACATCAATTCCAAATGCACAATGTGAAATAAAGAGATCTGTATCAAAATACTATTCCATATCAATTCTAATACAAAACAGATCAACAGTTAAACAGATCAACAGAAGCAATTAATCAATGTAGACTAGGATCCTCCATTTCTGACTCGTAAAGGTCACAGGTCCTGTCCACCGTTTTCCGCACCTTGGCCCATTCCGCTCGCTTGAGCAATTCTGCGCATCCATAGTGCGACTTTCATCACAATCCGCTTGAGAATCGGGTGCGTATCAAGTACGACTTAGGGAATACTGCTTCAATCTTTGGGATATGGTGCGTATCAATTGTACGACTTAAAATGAGATCCATAAAGGTCATGGAGGGACGTCTTAAGACAAGCGTAGTTCGCTTCCTCCCTGGTAAAGGTTATCCTTTGTTGGGATGATCCGTTGAGATGTGCGACTCGTTTTGGGTTAATGGTCCCAAAAGGTCATGCGACTTAAATTCCAATACGGTGACTCTCTTGGGCGGTAATGATCCCAAAGGTCATCCAACTTCGCTTCAAACTTCGATTAAAGGTCATGGAGGAACTTAGCCAATTTTCTGCGGCCTTCAAGCACTTCTTTGCTTGCCTCCCTGATAAAGATTTCGATTTGACCTTTCCGTCGCACATCCAACTTCAACATGCCTCGAGCGGCCAGAGTGCCGGCAGAGTTTACCGTAGCATCTCTGATGGGGCCGGCTAACTACCGCATTAAATTTACCCCATGACGCTTCCACATTAAATCTTTTACTCTTGTTCGCCGCTTGTGGCCCATCTTCGGTACGAGAGATCCGGCTTGATTACCGTTATTTCTCTCGTTAAGTTTTGACACTGAATCGCTTGGAGAGAGTGGCCGGCATAGTACACCGTAGCGTCTCTGATGGGGCCGGCTAATGGACCGAATCAAATTCAACCCCATTAATATTTCCACCTGTTGTCTTTCTCTTTTTCGCCGCTTGTGGCCCCCTTTCGTGTTCAAGAGATCCGGCTTGATTACCGTAGTTTCTCCTGCCAATTTGTAACACTGAGTCGCTTAAGGAGGAGAGCCGGCTGACTGCCGTAGCAACTCCTTTGGGGCCGGCATAATAGACCGAATTGATTTCAACCCCAATCGCTGCTCCACATGATTTCTTTATCCTTTGCGATTCTGTGCTATAAACGCTGAAAACAACAATTACACGAATGCAGTTTAAGTTAACATGTTACGTGACCTTTATACTTAACCATGATATTCGCTTCTGATGACCTTTCGAGACCTTTTTCGTTAAATCATTAAGGTCAATTGCTTCATTCTAACGCGGTGACCTTTCACGTTTTGTCGTTTACGCCAGTTCAAGTGCTCCGTCGTTAATCAAACATTCAACAGAGTTTCTGATTTACTTCCCATCCTTTCCGATATTCAGTTTGAACATTTCAAAGTCAGACAGCCATGCAGTTCAAAAGGTCATTCAACGTCACTGCGTTTGTTCCGACGATAATATCCATGGCCGCATCAGTTATGGCCGCCCCCACGAATTTTTATTGTTGTGCCCCGGTAGTATGTACACCGGTATGTTTTTCGCTGGTATACCGCTAGCATCCGGTTTCTGGGGGGATAATGCCGAGTCCGTTGGGTCCATTTCCTGGCTCTCTGTTTCAACAATCTTCAACTTCGCCAACGATCCGGATGATGACTGGGCCGATTTCGGCTCATTATTCTTCTCTTCTTCTCTTCTTGCGGCAAGGTCTCGTGACCTTTCGGTTTCTCCGTTCAGGTAGCCTCTATCAAGGATTTCTGAAACACTTGACGCGCCGAATCGGTTTCCGCATCTGCTGCCGCTTTTTCCATGGGGAGCATGACCTTTTCTTTCTCCCCTTCTTCCGAAGTTTCATGGTCTTTCAGTTGTCCCGTAGACGCGGAACTCTCTTGACCTTTAGGTTGCGCTTCCTCTTTCACGGTTCCAGACGTCTCTTGACCTTTAGACTGTTCGTCTTTTTCTGACCAAGTCCCGTGACCTTTCAGTTGGTCTGTCACTTGACGTTTCACTTGACACTTGGTTCACTTGACATTTGACCTTTAAGTTTATTTGCGCTTGACCTTTGGTTCGTTAGTCACTTGACCTTATGGTTTTCGGTGATCCGGCTTCACAATCTCATTTGATGACCTTTTATTTTTGCTGATCCAGATCTTTCGTAACCTTTTGGCTGTTCCATTTGGATTTCTGCCCGAGTCTCTTACCCTTTCAATTGACCTTTCACTTCTTCCGCTTTTACTTCGATCGACGTTTGCACTTCATTTTGTACTTCAGTCAGAGTCCGATGACCTTTCGACTGGTCGACAATTTCTGAAGATTCCGGACTTTCGTGACCTTTTCGTTGTTCCATTTGAATTTCGGTCGGAGTATCTTGACCTTTCGATAACCTTTCGCTTCTCTCGTATGATTCAGTCCGAGTCTGATGACCTTTCGACTGGAGGACCTTCCTGTTGACTTTTCGTCCATTATGACCTTTCTAGTGTCCGTTTCGATGAACTTTTGACCTTTTGACATTTTTCAGTTTGGTGACCTTTCTACTTCCATTCCTAATATCGTAAACTCCCGTTAATCTAATTTTTCGGATTAATATCTCTGCGTCCTTTAGTTATCCGATCAAGGAGTTCTTTGTCGGCCGCATCTTCAACTTCACCTTTCTGGGTCAGCAATTCTGTAGGAGTTAGTTTCTTTTTCCTCTGTTTAACCTTTCTCTCATCGATGGCTTTCGCTATATCACGGCCCAATTGTTCAGCTTTTGATTTGACCGCCTCTATTTCCTCTTTTCGCTTTTTTGTGAGGTCATCCTCATTATCGGTAGCAGTGCGTGGTTCGAAAAAGGATTGTTGCAAGTCCTTTTTGGAAGTACGCCCTGGTACTTTGGAACTCGGTTCGATATCGTTTTCCAGTGACCTTTCTGCCAAATTCCCCGCTTCTGCGTTCAACTTGATTGTGACTGCAGTTTCGAAATCCTTGTCCTCTTTCCTTTTTCTTCCTCTCTTCTGTTTCGGTTTATCTCCGCTTGTATCCGGTAGCAGGGAGCGTGGTTCGAAAAATGGTTTCTGTTGTGTGACTGAGTCATTTTTCGGACTCCGCTCTAATTTATCTTCTTTTCCGTTAGCTTTCTCCGTTTCGGGTAGCAGGGGTGGTTCGAAAAAAGATTCTGCCGAGTCTTTTTGAGTACGCTCTGTTGCTCGTTCTACTGTTTCTTTTTCCACTTCAGGTAGCAGAGGTGGTTCGAAAAAATTCGAGGTACGCTCCGATACTTTTTGCGAATCTTTCTCTTCCGGTAATGGCGGATGCCATAGCTTTAATCGGTCGATCGAAAACACCTTTAAGTCTGCCTCTTTCTTTGGGTTCTGCTCAATGACCTCGGCTTCGTTTGTTCGCGGGAAACTCAGAATCTTCCACACTTTATCGTATTTTGACTTGAAGTCCGACTGATTTTCTTTCTTCCCTTGTTTCGTGTCCTTTGGTAATCGTATCAGTACGAGGTCGCCCACTTTGAAGTTCGGCTCCGATTTCTTCTTATTGTAAATCTCCGCATTCTTCTCGTATGCATCTTTGATATTGCATTTCGCCACTTCTTCTGCAAAGGTCAGGTTCCTCTTCATGGTCTCCACCCATTCATCTGGAGTCCCATAATCGTCTGGGATATTCGTTTTTGTGACCACATCTTCCGGCATTGTCATTTCTCTGCCGTGTAGCATATAGTATGCTGAATATCCAGTTGTGGCGTGTACAACTCTGTTCATCGCCGAAATGACGTATGGGAGGTACTTGTTGAACTTCCTTTCGTTTCCCGCTTTCAAGTATTGCGCCAAGCCATCCGCAATCGTCTGCATCTGTCTTTCGACTTGGCCTTGACCTTCTGGGTGATATGCCGTTCCAAATGTGTGTCTAATCTTGAACACATTGGTGACCTTTGTCAAAACTTCGGCTGTAAAGTGCCGTCCACGATCCGTGTGTAAGATGTGTGGTGCTCCATGTACCAATATCACATGTTTGACGAACACTTTGGCAAATTCTTTGGCTGTAGCCGTCTTCATTGGTACGGCAATCACGTATTTCGTCAACTGATCGATGAACACCGCTATGTACTTATATCCACGTTCCTTCGTCGGTAGCAATGGTCCTTTCAAGTCCGCATAGACCCGGAAGAACGGATGTCCGACCTTTATCTCTTGCAATTTCCCGGGTGGGCATTTCCTCGGTGTCTTACGAAATTGACATCCTTGACAGGCACTTATGTAATTCTTCACGTCTGTACTCATCCGATCCCAATAATATCGGAGTCGGATTGCCGTCAATGTCTTTTCGAATCCCAAGTGTCCTGCCGCTTTCTCGTCGTGTAATGCGTGGATTATCGCTCTTCGCATTGACAACGGTACGACATATGACCTTTCAAG